TACAATGGACTTCAGTAAAAAGAAACAAACTGAAAGCACAAAAGAGAAGGTAGAACTCCTAACCGGAGCGACAAAATATTTGGATTAGAGAGCAACCAATAAATAAAAAAAATAAAGATAATTCAGAAGAGAGTTATGACTCTGTGTTTTAGTCCGGTCAGACCAAGTACGAGATCGCCTCGAGCCTAATTTGATCGGCACCGTCAAAGTACAACAAATCAGACTAGTGACAACATACAGCGATGGAGAATTGAGTAGTGTATAAGGTGCAGGTCAAGCATCGGATTGTGTGTCATCAGTCCGCAAAACATCTCTGTCGAGATCCCCTCGGGAGCGAGTGTTCTAATACAAAAGAAGAGCAACGAATTCCAGATAGAAAAGTGAGCGACACTGCGTCAACAGATTTGAGTCCAAAGGGCCCTTTTTGTTTGGGGCGGTTCCCACCGAGTCCCTATGGGTCCCACGTAGGTCGTGACCAAGTCCCAAGCAAGAAGAGTACCACAAGGTCCTACTTTTTGCCTCTACCGTACTAAAAGATGAATTTCAACTTCAAGAGAGAACCTACAGACTTCATCTATTCAGAATGAAAAGACAACGCATTGTACAAAGATATGGCATTCCAAGCAAGATACTTCATCTCTACATCCATCAGGTTAGTAAGCAATGAGCAGTTTGCACACCAATGCACGCAACCAGGACTTCCGAGGAGAAGGAAAGGGACCCAAAAATACCCCAAGAGAGCACACAATACTATGCACTCACACATGGGAAACCCTTATGTGCACGACACTTAGCTGAGTGGCCCAGACTCTGAGATGAAGTATAACTCACCCCCCTTCCTCATATGGTCCKCCTAACCTTATTCGCTACCTCTACACAAGTGTCCTATCATGTAGGAGGGTCTGACTCCAACACCAAAGAGCAACGCCGGATCCCCCGCCGATGCTGAAGAACAAAGTAGCAACTTGCAGTCTGTAGATGCAGAATGGCTACCTCCCTCAAGATCGCCTACTTGAGGGAGGCCCTCAAGTCACCAAGTGTCTCCCTTAGGTCAGATTCCRGRTGCGAGTGSCTCTCACTGTCGCCTCTCTCAACTTGTCGCATGAAGTCCTCTTGATGTGTCTCACCACCACAAGCTCACTCTCAATCAACCTGGTCACGTTCAGTGTCGACCCAACACGACCTAACCAGGTGGGGCAGCTTCCCTAACCCACGCTGCCCCACTTACCACTTCAGACCAACACACTTCATACACACCCTAACCCTCAGTGGTCAGGCCTAACCTAAGTAGGGTGGATAAGTCAACTCTCAGCAGCAAGTAGAATCCGCTCTGATACCAATGTTATGATCCTGGCCAATTTCGAAGTACACATTCATCAAAAAGGACAATGCCGTCCAATTGCAAAAAGAAATGAATGAACTTGAGAGGAGAGAGAGGGAAAGAAGAAGAAGAAGAAGAAGAAGAAGAAGAAAGAAAGAAGCAGAAGATGATGTGCACCAGCATAGACCAATGATAATGTTCTTCTTCTTCTTCGCCCACTACTCCCCTCCTCCTTATCTCTTTCCCTCTTGTTCAAACAAGAAATAATGATAACAATGTTGAATGTCTGAACCAGAATCAATGTCCGAATCCCACTTCTACTGCAGGTATCACATGAGGTCCACCATAGCCATGGCCGCCATTCTTCCTCCTTCCTCCAAGGCTGAGGCTATGGCGGACTACCAGGCCATTGCCCTGCTGTCCAAAGGACAACACAAAGTAGCTATGGCTTCTCTAACTCAGGCCGCCATGCCTGACTCTGCCTCGAAGCTTCTTGGTGTAGCTCTACCCCAACTCGGGCCTTCCTGCTGCAGCGTCCACCAAGGTGATGAAGATGGCAACCACCATAGACAGGTAAGTACCTCTGGCGCTCCCCTTCCTAGTCCTGGTCTTCTTCCTCCTCCATGTCCTTGCTCCTTCCCCAGCAGCGCTCCAGCCAGCGCTCCAACCAGTGTGTCGCCAAACTTGCACACTGGAAATGAGGAGGAACACCTTGCTCCTCCTGGAGATATAGGGCCTGCTTGCCTCTTGACGACTGACTTCCTAGGCCATGCGGCCTCCAAACAACCGGTACCTCCACCCTTTCGGAAGGAAACATCACTGCAGACTCTGATATTGCCCGTACAGGCCCTAGACTCAGACTGGTTGGACTGGTACCTGCCTAGACCTAGCCTACAATTACTGGGCCTCTAAAACGCCAACTTTTGTCTTCTTCTGCTCGGCCTCGAGTACCCGGCACATCTGCCTCTACCTGGTGTGGTACCGGCCTACCTGCTACTTGAGTGTTTTCCGCTGCTTCAAGTGTCATGGGCCTCTTTCCCTGCCACTTGAGTGTTTTCCCTGCTGCAACCCTCAATGTCACCACCATAGTTAAGTACCGGCCCTTCGGGCCCTCTGAACGAACAAGCGCCCTTGCGGGTCACACACACACTCAAGCCGACAAGCACTCAGACAGGAATGCAGACCAGCAAGCATGCACACACACAAACTTAGAGAACTCAGCAACAGGCGGGAAACTCAGCATGGCATTCATTCTATGGGCAAAACTCAAACATCAGGTGTGTGTCTCAGTCCGTGTTTTGCAGGTCATTACATTTAGGATAAAAGAGACCATATATCGGTTAGCATGAGATAGAAACCAAGGGCAACAGGAGACAAAGTATGTGAAGGTATCGGGTGCTAGTCCTCAGAGGAAGAACAGAGATAGAATAGGCTTTATTCCACAGTAAGTACAGAGTCAGAGACTTAGGGCTTAGGGTTTTAGAAAGGCCGTCAGCATTAGGCCTGCTAAGCAACGCCAGTACTCAATGCAAAAGCTGACAGCCATAGGGCTGAAAGGAACAAGTAGGACCAGGCTGCAATGGACAGGCAATAGCAAACAGACAGAAGTCTTAGCAGACAAGGTAGGGCCCAACTCCAAAACCAAAGGCAGATAGGCTAACTTAGGCAGGGGTGGGGTGGTACATCCTTCCAAATGGAAGTAATCAATGCTGTCCACTCGGGCCTCTCAACCATAATGGGGAGTAGTGTGTGTGAGTAACTCCTGTAACTCCTTTTGACTTGCCGGTGGAATAGGAACCAGACGATGCTCCCCAGAATGGAACGGAGCCAGAACCATAAGGTTCTGTTTTTTGGGGGGGAAAAAAAAAGAAGAATTAAGGACCTGGATACGGTTCCTGTGCATTGTACATTTCTTTTGTGTTACCTAACAGCCGCTTCATAGTTGATCTCTGACAATCACCCAATCATCGATCCTAAGTTATTGTTATGATGGGCTCTGTTCTGATCCTGGCCAATTTCGAAGTACACATTCATCAGAAAGTACAATGCTGTCCAATTGCAAAAAGAAATGAATGAACTTGAGAGGAGAGAGAGGGTAAGAAGAAGAAGAAGAAGAAGAAAGGAGAAGAAGAAAGAAGGAAGAAGAAGATGATGTACACCAGCATAGACCAATGATAATGCTCTTCTTCTTCACCAACCACTCTCCTCCTCCTTATCTCCTCCTCTCTTATTCAAACAAGAATAATAATAACAATGTTGAATGGCTGATCCAGAATCAATGTCCGAGTCCCTCTTCTATTGCAGATATCACTTGAGGTCGACCATAGCCATGGCCACCCCTCTTCCTTCTTCCTCATAGGCCGAGGCTATGGCGGACTACCAGGGCATCGCCTTGCTGTCCAAAGGACAACACAAAGCAGCTATGGCTGCTCTATCTCAGGCCACCATGCCTGATTCTGCCTCGAAGCTTCTTGGTGTAGCTCTGCCCCAACTGGGCCTTCCTGCTGCAGCGCCCACCAAGGTGATGAAGATGGCAACCACCATAGCCAGGTAAGTACCTCTGGCGCTCCCCTTCCTAGTCCTGGTCTTCTTCCTCCTCCGTGTCCTTGCTCCTTCCCCAGCAGCCCAGCTGTGTGCTAGCGCTGCTCCAGCCAGCGCTCCAACCAGTGTGTCGCCAAACTTGCACACTGACAATGAGGAGGAGGAACTGGCTCCTTCTGGAGATATAGCGGCCTGCTTGCCTCTTGGCAAGTCACTTCCTAGGCCGTGCGGCCTCCAAGCAACCGGTACCTCCTCCCTTCGGAGGGAAACATCATTGCAGACTCTGAGATTGGCCGTACAGGCCCTAGACTCAGACTGGTTGGACTGGTACGCCTAGACGTAGCCTACAACTACTGGGCCTCTAAAAATGCCAACTTTTGTCTTCTTGTGCTCGGCCTCAAGTACCCGGCACATCTACCTCTACCTGGTGTGGTACCGGTCTACCTGCTACTTGAGTGTTTTCCGCTGCTTCAAGTCTCGCGGGCCTCTTTCCCCGCCACTTGAGTGTTTTCCCCGCTGCAATCCTCAATGTCATGGCCACAGGTAAGTAGCGGCCCTTCGGGCCCACCGGATGAACAAGTGCTTTTGCGGGTCACATACACACTCGAGTCGACAAACACTCAGACAGGCATGCAGACCACCAAGCGTGCACACACAGACTTAGAGAACTCAGTAACAAGCGGGAAACTCAGCAAGGCATTCATTCCATGAGCAAAACTCAGAAATCAGCTGTATGTCTCAGTCCGTGTTTGGTCAGGTCATTACAGGTTCAATATTTGAATTATTCTTCATTACCATTGAGTTTGTTTCCCTATGGAGTCCTACTGAGTTCTTGCTGAGAATGGGTGAGTTGAAGCCTGGTGTCTTTTTTATGTGTTTGAGTTTGCTTGTGTTGTTCTCTGTGAGTGAAGTCATTGGTTGAGGAGTACATACATATATGGAGCTTGCTGCTTTCTGTGACTTCATTTCATCCAGAAACATGCCAGTGATACCATTTGCTTTTCACATGTATTCTCTACACAAAGATTGTCTTACGATGTACAAAGTCCAAACGCAGAGTCCACAGGAACCTGGGTTTGTGAGTGTAGTCCTCTTCAGGAAGGAGGCTAGGATGGGGTGATTGAGGTCTTCATCTTACACTGCTCGTTTACGAAGGGGTCATTCCGCTGATATTCTGCACACATCAAACACAAAAATGCGAAATTCAGAGGTGAACATGGTACAATCCTGCATTAGGGTGAAGTTCAGGGCGTCGTCTTTTAGGGCACAAAAGAAACAAAATAACAGGATAGAACCAATGACTAGAGCCAAAAGATGATCTTATTTTGCCGAATAGGTTGGAATCAAGAACAGAGATCTGAAACAACCATAGCACATCAAATGCATTTGGATGTGAAAGGAATCAATGATGCAGCAATTACTTTTTTTTCTTTTTGTTGTTGGAAGAACTTCTCCAGTCGGTCAGCATAGGGCTACTAGAAGGGGACGAAGACTTAGAATCCAAAGCCTATGTCATTGACAGCGAAATATTTTATAGGAGTGACGCTTCAGACGCAGGCTCCTGGGATGGTGACGATGAGCAGGACGGTTTGATCCAGCACCAGGAGTTAGAAAAGGGCAACAGTGATCAGATAGAGCAGGACGGTGCGGGCACTGAGGGGAACATCGTGTCTTCCCCTCTCACAGGCAGTGGTCCTGACAGTGTCCAGGAGGCCTTGGACAGGGATACGGATAAGGGCGACCCGCATATCTAGATACCCGCTCTATCAACTGTTCCCCCCTACTTAATCATTCTTGACAGGCCATCTACCTAACTTAACCCAGCCTCTTCCATGGAAAACTACAGAAGGAGAGCGAATGAGGTCGGGGACCGCATCGATTGGAGAAGTCAAGGCCTGGTCCTTAGAAGCTGGAATGTCAACGGTCTAGGGAACATAATGGAGAGAGAAGAAAAATGGAACGACTTGAGGTCTGGGTTATCGTTGGGTATTAGGGAAACAGTGGATATAATTTTGCTTCAAGAAACCCACCTCACCCTATTCACAGAACACAACAGAATTCGCACATTCATGGCAAGGAAGCTAGGCGGCCTAAAAGACGAAATTTGGTCTGTTGATCCCGAAACAAGCTCCAAGGGAACAACAATATTGATTCCTAAATCCTCCCGCCTATTTAAAGCAGGCTCAGTCCTAGACAAGAGAGTCGACCAAAGGGAAGGGAGATGGTGTATGCTACACCCGAAATGGAAAGAAGAGGAATTCTTACTCTTCAACATCTACGCACCGAACTCGCCATCAGAAAGGAAGACCTTCTTAAGGAACATCCAAGACTTGATCCCGCCTCTGACACCTTGTATCCTGGCAGGAGATTGGAATGCCACGATAAACCCTTCACTAGACCGTATATCCAGGTCGTCCGGCACCCCTAATTCTTCTGAAGCTATACCAATCCAGGAATTGATGCTGGATCATAACTTGGTGGACCCTTGTAGAATTCTTCATCCAAACAAGAGAACCTTCACCTTAATCAAGAAAAATCACGGTGACCACACGGCCTTTTTGCGAATTGACTACTTTCTAGTATCAGAAATCATGATGGGGGTGGTTAAGAATGCTGAAGTATTACCCTTGGCTCCATACCCAGGACTGGACCACAAACCAATTGAACTGGTTGTTTGTTTCGACCAATTGATTAAAAAGGGAGCCAGCTTCCATAAACTCAACAACTCCCTCCTACTGAGCCAGACCTTCCAAAGTGAAGTTTGCAACTGCTGGGAGGGTCCGCACGCCTAAGTACTGACCATCGATGGGAATGGTTTCAAAAGAGTTATTCCAACCTGTCAAGCTCCGTGGCCAAAGTCTCTAGGAATCTAGCATCCATAAGGAAACAGAGGAAGCAAGCACTAGAATTCGCGTTGAAGTTGGCAAAAACCAACCTAATAAATAACCCTGCCTCACCGCTATATAACAATTTGTTCGACAAGGCACGTGAGGAACTGGCCATGTGGAAATGGTGGGACCTGAGAGGTCTCCAAATAAGAGCGAGAATGTGTGAATATGAACTCAATGACTCTATGTCAAAACACTTTTTTGCCCGAATCAAAGCCAACTCGAGAGCTTCGACAATTGAAGGCCTGAGATCCCACGCAGCCCCGGAAACGGTGAGATCAGATAGCGAAGGCATGCTAGAGATAGCTAACAACTTCTATAAGGACCTCTATCTCTCCAAGACTGAGACTCCAATCCCCTCCTATACTAGCGAGGCAAGACAGAAAATGTTGCGCTATCTAGAACAAACAATATCATCGGATCAGGCCGAAGCACTTGACAAACCAATCACATTGGAAGAACTACACCTGACCTTAAAAAGCATGAATAACAACAAGTCCCCTAGAATCGACGGGTTAACAAAAGAGTTCTGGGATAAATTTTGGCCCCTACTAGGACGTGATCTGTTACACTTCTACAATGACAGTTGGTCCAAGGGAGGACTGGGTAATCTTCTCAGCAGCAGCAGCGTCACGTTACTCTACAAAAAGGGCGAGAAAGAAGATATAAAAAATTACAGACCCATATCGCTGTTAACCCTTCCATATAAAATCCTAGTCAAAACTCTATCCAACCGGATTATCAAAATTACCAACCAATGCTTCCACATTGATCAAACAGGCTTCATCTCGGGCCGCTACATTCTAGACAACGTTATGACTCTGAACGAGTCGGTAAGAAAAATCAGGGAAAGGAAAATAAACACTACCATTCTCTTCTTTGATTTCGAAAAGGCATACGATCAAGTAAACTGGGACTTCATGGAAGCAAGTATGGAAAAGATGGGAGTGGGACCTAACTTCAAAAAATGGGTCCGGATACTGTATAGAGATGCAGAAGGCTGTGTCCAAGTCAATGGACTACTATCAGAATGCTACCCGATCTCCCGTTCGGTTCGTCAAGGGGACCCCCTGACCCCCTCAATCTTTCTATTCGTGATGAAGGCAATCGCATCCTTCCTCCGTAAGGATCCATCAATTCAAAGGCTAGCCAGCACAGACGTAGGTTCATCCCACCAAATGGACTTTCCAATAGCCATCATGTTCGCTGACGATTTAACGGTCCTAATCAGAGCATCTGATTCCTCATTCAAGTCTCTAGCTAAAGCAATGGAAGCATTCAAACTAGCCTCAGAAATGAAAATCAACTGGGGAAAAACAATCGGCTGGTGGCTATCCGAGGATGAACCCCCCTCGCTCCAAGGGGACGAGGCGGCGATGACGTGGCAAACGCCGGACACACCCACCCGCTATCTGGGCATATTATTGATGAAGGAAGGACTGGCTTCCCAAATGGGCCCCTCTATGCTAACCAAACAGATCAATAAAATTGGAAGATGGGGCAACACCTTCACATCCCTCATCGGTCGAGCACTAGTCCTCAATACATCGATCTTTTCAATGATGTGTTTGGACAATCCCTAACAGTTCGCTTAAGGAATTGAATCGAAGAGCTAGGCTGTATCTATGGATAGGAGACCCTAACAAGGGAAAAGGATTATCCAAAATCGCCTGGCACTACGTTACAGGAAGGCCACGTAATGGAGGCCTAGGAATTATCGACCCCGGAACAGAAACAAAAGCCCTACAAATCAAATGGATCATCAAACTACTGATGAATCCAAACAGCGCATGGAACAAGCTGGCACTAGACAGTATCAGATCCGTGGCCCCAATTCCCTCCCCAAACGATATGTCAGGCCTGTTCTGGGTAATGAATAAAGAATGGGTGATAAACACAGGGCGTAGGAACCGAACGAGGAATAACAGGCTCAATGACCCCCGTCCGCCTACACCTTACTGGCCGGCATTACTCCGATCCTGGAGGAAAATAATTCCCAACAAGACAAACAGACCCAAATCCAAGGATGAAGTACTAAGGCAACCGCTCTTCGGGAATGAATGGATAAAAAACGAGGCGGACAACCCTCTCTTCCTAGAACAGAAATGGCTGTCCTAGATCAGAAACGGTATCTGGAAAATCGATCACTTATGGGTGGAAGATAGAAAGGGCTGGGTAACAGAACAAGAAGTCAACCCCCGATTGAAAGGCTGTCATAGACGAGGGACCAACCTCCAATACATTCTTAACTGCATTCCACAGGACTGGAAAGACATCCTGACAAAAGACGAGTCGTGGAGACCGGGTGAGTGGGGTCTGTTGATTGAAGAAACAACACCCCCGAGAGCCTTTCAAATTTCCCATTGGCAGCAAGGCTCACACACTAAGGCCACTTTCCTCTCTTTCCCGATCTCCTCCTCCAATACGGGTTCGCCGAATATCCTAAATTGCGAGGTAGAGTGGCTGGTCTTAGAGTCCTTCTTACTGCGGAAAGTAAGGGTCCTAGGATCATGGCCGAAATCACTCTACAGGCCTGACACTTCAATCCGTAACTTGGAGTTCGATCCAGCTGAATGGGC